TTCTATTTTGCGTTTGAACTCAAAGTGTTCACATGTTTAAATAGAGGGGGTTAGTGGGTTAAGTTCGTTTTTATCTGTATATTTACGGTATGTTTTGAAAACTATAAGGTATATTCTGGTATATTTCTGAGGATCAAACAGTTCAGCACGACCGCTTATGGTTTTTAAAATACTTTATGGTATTTTGATGCCAAAATTTATTAATAATAATATTTTATTTTAATATTTCCACGAAATTTATGTAACTTTAGCATACAGTATACTGTATGGTTAGTGCCGGTGATCAAACGAGACTTAACCCACTTCACACCCCTATATTTAAAAAGTATTCAGTATACTGTATGGTTAGTGCTATAAGGTATATTCTGGTATATTTCTGAGGATCAAACGGTATCAGCACGACCGCTTATGGTTTTTAAAATACTTTATGGTATTGCTTGATGCCAAAATGTATTAATAATAATATTTTATTTTAATATTTCCACGAAATTTATGTAACTTTAGCATACAGTATACTGTATACTGTATGGTTAGTGGTGCCGGTGATCAAACGAGACTTAACCCACTTAACACCCCTATATTTAAAAAGTTGAGCACCCTTTGTTAAACCGCGGAAAATTATATTGATTGTGAAGGCTCCTTGTAGCTCCATCCTCCTCTTTACTTACAAATCAAAAATGACCACCGACATCTTTCACCTGTAATGCGTAAAATATGCTAAGGTTACATAAATTTCGTGGAAATATTAAAATAAAATATTATTATTAATACATTTTGGCATCAAGCAATACCATAAAGTATTTTAAAAACCATAAGCGGTCGTGCTGATACCGTTTGATCCTCAGAAATATACCAGAATATACCTTATAGCACTAACCATACAGTATACTGAATACTTTTTAAATATAGGGGTGTGAAGTGGGTTAAGTCTCGTTTGATCACCGGCACTAACCATACAGTATACAGTATACTGTATGCTAAAGTTACATAAATTTCGTGGAAATATTAAAATAAAATATTATTATTAATAAATTTTGGCATCAAGCAATACCATAAAGTATTTTAAAAACCATAAGCGGTAGTGCTGATACTGTTTGATCCTCAGAAATATACCAGAATATACCTTATAGTTTTCAAAACATACCGTAAATATACCGAGATAAAAACGAACTTAACCCACTGAACCCCCCTCTATTTAAACATGTGAACACTTTGAGTTCAAACGCAGAAAATAGAACTGTTTGTAAATGTTCTTTGTAGATGCTTTTAACCTAAAAAAACAAATTACAAATATCCAGAAAAGTTTTATTTAAAAATTCACCCTAAACGGTCAGGTCACCCTGGTCAGATTTTCAGACCAGTGTTGTAAAACCTCGTAGTGCCGCATGCTTTGCTAACTGGGCGCCAGATTTAAAATTTAAATCAAGTCGCAAAGATGTTAATTAGTTGATTGTATGGAATTAGACCGCTCTTTCTATCAACTCTGTCTAATTTCTTTGCTAATTTGCAGACTCATAGCTCCATTCACTTCATATTACGCCTTATAAACCTTTTACTGCCCCAGGGAATTGATCAATGGCCATAAAAAGTATTTTTGTGCCAAATGTTGCTAACTTTTATAAATTAACAGCTGCGAATTTGGCGACGCTAATTGAGGCCCGAAAACCCATGAAGACAATAGGAATCCTAAACTGTTCTTTTCCGCCAAATGAATGATGAAAACGTGCAACAAATTCTCCAGATCGGATATGTTTCCAATGGAATATTTGCCGGTCATTCCATTGAAGCGAATTGCGACATTGACTTTTCATGTGCAAAATAAATTCATTTCACTTGAACCTTGTTATTGATGGCAATTTAAAATCAATTGAGACATATTTAATTCGTCTTCCCGAAGCCACAATTGAAGATAACTGTGAAACAAAATCGAAAGATTGATGATACATTTGGGCATTTCGAAGTTCGGCTATTAGTATTTCCTTTGACTAATTAACGCCTTAATTATCAACATTAGTACATATGGATATGGATGGAATGAAATTATCATGAATGAAAAACTAAAAAAAAAGTGTCATTTACCGTTGTTGGATATTGCATATAATAAATAATAAGGTTCACCCTGAAGATCATAATTGACCCACTCTGAAGAGAACCCAGCCCGCCCACACACACAAGCAGGTGCACTCTGTCTCTCTCTCTCTCTCTCTGTCAGTCTCCTTCTCTTAGGACTGCGACTAATGCAAACAGCTGTTCTTGTTGATAATCAAAGTTCCTTGTTGTTGTCAGTCCCCCAGATAGCACATACAATTTTTGGAAGTAACTGTAAATCGATGGCAGCGATGGGTCGTCGTAGAAAAGTGCGTGTTTTTGTTGCATTCCAAACTGGCATTATCACGCACACGAACACAACACACATTTACAGATAGGGGGCTTCGGGCAGACATAAAGAGCACTGGCTGGCCCGTGCTCTTTGGAACGGCCCCCACAAATGAGTGGAGCCCGAGAGAGCGGCAGAGAGCCGGAGAGGGTCTGTGGCTAGTGTTAATATTAGCGTTTGAAGCTCGCTCCCCAAATCAGTACCACCAAAGAGTACAAATTTAGCTTCCATCGGCGACACACGTTTTCCACTTTGTGCGGAGTGTAATAACCAATCTTGAACAGAGTCAAATAATCCCATCCAGTCAAAGCAAAACCAAAATATTAAAACGTCGACGCCTCTTGTCTATCGAAAGCGGAAAAGCTCAATAAGCGGTCAGCGCCACCCACACCACACCACACCTCCCCTCCGGACCAACCGACCAACGTTCAAGTTTTCACAGCTTGTGCGTGCGTGTTCGTATATTCGCGAAATAAATACGTCATCGACGCGCGCAGCAAAAAAGCAGCGAGCCAGCCGAAAATTGAATCGAAAGTCCCAGCAGCGCACACATTTGCAGAAACGAGCCTGAATTGAGTCCAATTGCAGATACAACAACGCCCAATCAACATAAATCGAGGAAAATTGCTATACAGTGCGCTGTCCACTCGTATTAATTGACTTGTTATTGTATCTCCATCGTCGTCGTCGTCGTCGTCGTTGGCATTCACAGGGAGACGCAGCAGCAAGAGGCAGCGATACAAAACGTGCAAAACAGCTGGGGAGAAGCAGAGAAGAAAGAAGCAAAGCAGCAGCAGCTGAAGCAACAGCAACAAGTGCATCTCTCCCTCCCACCCATTCACACAGAGGCACAGCAAAACACAACACAAGCCCTTTCAATTGAATGATTGTGTGTGTGTGCGTATATAACTTTGTTGTTGCCACAATCAATTAGAGTGATAGCAGCCTCAGCAGCAGCAGCAGCATCCACATACATCAATTTGCTGGGATCTCTGGACGACTCTGGGTAGCTGGATGATTCCAAAAGTGCGTCTGTGTCTGTAGTTGTTCCCGTTCCGCCTCCGTAATCGCAAGTCGCACTCGCACTCACATCCATTGCCGTTGCCGTTGTTGCCGTCGTCGTCGTCGTCGTCTCCATCATCTCCGTCTCCGCTGGTCGCGAGCATCATCGGTGCCGTTTTTGCCTCTGCTCTCGGAGTACCGTCCACAAGTGTATGTGTATCTGTGCCGTCGGCCACTCGGCTTGATTGGGGCTTTGCTGATTCCGAAACTGTGTCTGTAGTTTCCCGCTAACGGCAGAAATTCTCACAACTCATTGATATTTTAACCTCGTGTCCGTGTTGGCTGCCCGCTCGACCAAGGTTCTCCGCACAAAATGCCCGTCTCTTTGGGCTTTTCGAAGCCTCGCTTCGTCGGACTAAAAGTGCTCCTATAGGGAACGCCCAGGATCCAGACTCCTAAAGAACCGTCCGCAAAAAAGTGACGCGTCCCATCGAATTGGCAAACAAATTATCATTGAACCGAACTCGCAATCGCTATCGCCCAAGCCTTATCACAGTAGCCACCGAAAAAAAAAATATAGAAAATCGAGCCGTCGTAAATAGTGCAAATCAAGAAAAGTCAAGAGACATCGAATCGATCCCAAAACCCCTGCGCCGAACAAACAAACTCTTTTTCGCGCTGTTAATTCGCCTAATGAAATCTGAACATTTGTGAATAATTAACATTTCGATCGCATCGAAAACCTGTTCGCCACCAGCCACCAGCCACCAAACATCGCAAAAAGCCACAGAAATTAGGCTCCAATAAAATCCGACTCTAAGAGCTAATATATAACACCCCTCGCCATACAAATACACGAGTGGCGATAACAGCCATACCACACCCCGTACCTTGCCTGAGCCCGGAGCCCAGACCAGACCACGAATTCCCGAGCGACTAAGCTCGCAGCAAACAGCAATACCACTCGACTCGAGCCACTTAACTTCGCAGCCCTGTCGCACAGCCAGCGCTGAACAGAGTACGTTCGAAACTCGCCCGTAATAGTTCTGTCCGACGTTGCTCCGCAGCCGATCCCCATCCGATCCAGATATCAATTTATCATCAGCCAAAGGCCAAAAGTGTGCATCTATCGACTATCAATTCGTATTGGATTTTGAGTCTGAGTTTGAGAAACACAATCCCCGAGTACCATAGCTGCTGTAGAATGTCAGCCTTCTGACAGTGTCAAAGTCAAAGTATAAGCAAATACCCAAATACCAATTTTTTCCAAGGAAGAAGCCATACTCAAAAGTCAGCGTTAATTAGAATGTCGCATATCTGACAGTGACAAAAGTACAGATAATCGTCACACATATTTTGAAAATTTACTGAATCGTTGAGTCAAGTCGAGTTGAGAGTCTCTCGAGTCTAAAACGCTGGGAAATCTGAGAAGAAGAGAAAAACGAACAAAGGCTGCAGTATCTGCCACAGGGAGTGCACTCTGCTATCAGTAAAGAAAAAGCGATTCACGAGTAAACAACTGCTAAATAATGTCAGCCATCTGACAGTGAACGAATAAAAACCAGCAAGCAGCAAGCAGCGAGTGCAAGCCAAGCACCAGCGATCCCACGAGTCCAAAGCACATATCACATCAACTGTACCACATTTAGCAGCAATAAATGGAGAAATCTGAAATACGAATGCAGCGCATTTCAAATGAATATCAATCGCAATCGAGCTATATGTATCTGAGGAACAAAATGCTGTTAAAAATCGAAAATACCCTACTCCGAAGCCATCGTCAGCGTGAGACCACCGGAATTAAGAAACTGTACAATTCGTTTTTCGTATTGTTTTAACTTGGCTCGGTCCCCCACCCCTCCCAAGGCCCCAAGAACACACGCACAACGCAACTATTCAAATTCCACACAAAATTGTGAAAAAAACCATAGAAAAAGTTACAAACAAAAAAAAAATACAAAACAAAACAAAAAAAGGAGCAGATACGTATAGAAATAAATAGTGAATAATAAATATAAACTATATGGATATTATTTGGTTGTTAGTCGAACTCACGCGGAGTGCAAATTTGTTAAACGGAATCCAAAATCCGATATTCGATATCCAAAATCCAGAGTGCTGTGCGCATAACGGTGTAGTGTCATTAAAGACCATTTTGAACAGATCCAAAATGTTAACCTAAGCAAAATCCAATCCCAATTAAGCCATCTCAATAAAACAAAACAAAAACCCACACATTTTATTTCTACTTCGAATATTCTACTATTGCTATTATTACTCTTTGTTGCATTTCGATCTGCACAAAGAACTTGAGCAAAATTGCTGGCGCCTCCAAAGGATCCCACCGCTAGCGATATCGGTGGAACGAACGTGTGCTAACCAAATAATCGTGTTTACGTGTACCCCCGCCTCCACCAACCCGGCTATTGACTTTTAAGTGCGTGTATGGTTTTATTTCGGTCGAGGACATTATAAATCAACATAAGCAAGGAACAAGAAAATAACAGCTGATCCATCGCCCATCTACCGAATGGCGCTTTCGTTTCTATCGCAAAACTCCGGTCTCTTGGATTTACAAAGCATATTCGATCCACAATATTCAGAACTGCAACTGCAAGAACACAACCATCATCATCACCACACAATTGACCAAGAAAACCAGCCACACGAGGAACTGCAACTTCAGCTACCACAGCGCACGATTGCCACAAAATTCGACTTGAACATCTTCAACGAACTCGATCAAATGGAATTCAACAACAACAATTTGAATCGCAGTCAATATCAAAATAACAGCAACATTAATAGCAACGCCAACAACAGTGCCAGCGAGAACTTAAATCAGGTAAGTTTCCCACCTATGACCCAATCCCTGGGAAACCCTGCGGGAGAAACTCATTAGATACAAGCTTCTATTAAGATGTTCGTTGAGCAGAATGGGAATGAAAGTATATAATCAGATATCTGTAGAACCATAATTCAAATGCCTTTCCAAGGAACAAGTACATGGAATCACACTAAATGGCAGATTGTCAAACACGAGGCAAAAGGTTGTTCCCGTAACCAAATAAATTTGTATTGTAGGCGTATTTATACAATTGTTTTTTGTTTTGTTTAGTATCTGGACAAGTGTTTGCGACTACCAATGGAATGATTCCCTCCCATCTACCACTTGTAGTTGCCTGCCAATTCAGTTTGCCTTGAATATCTCGTGTCGTATATGTATATATGTAGTTCAATTGCTAATTATACTATACAGAACACAATGTATCATATAACAACGTTGTGGTATGAGACTGATGGGAGAGAGAGAGTGCGAGGAAACTATGGGGAAACCAGCGCTTAATAAATAGTTTCAATGTTACGTCAACAGCCAAAGCTACTCACTTGCATTTTTTGTTGTTGTTTTTTTTATTTATTTTGTCTACTTTAATATTAAACGTTCTGTGGGTTATCTTTGGTCAGCTCTTCAGATCTTCGATATGGGATTGTTTACTCACATGTCGGTCGTGTCGATCATATCTTTGTGGAGCATAATTAAAATGGAAGCAACAAGAAATCGATTCGTGTTTTCCCCTACTCTCACTTGAGAGAGGAGAGAGAGCGAGACTGTAAGCAAGCCTTATCAGCAAGGTTTCGGACCTACATACATATAGTACTTTAGCTTTAGACTCTAGAGATAATGTTGTGAGGGCATAGCCTCGCTGGCGGCTAGACGGGGCTTTGTTTCTGTTTCTGTTTCAGATTCGGAATCTGTTTCTGTGTTTTCGAGCTACGAGTTGAGGCTTAGACCACTGAAAGTCACTTATTCTGCTACTGATTGATTTTGCAGATCGAGAACCGCCACTTTATTAGCGGCTACCATCACCATCATATTGGAAAGGATTATGAGCAAGTGATCAACTTTGTTGACTCGCCGCCAAACTCTGAGGAATCGTGGACAGGTAAGGTCACAGCCCACACCCCCGCACCCCGATCCATCCAGCCTTCGGTCCATCAGTCCATCAATCCATCAATCAGACAGCGCTCTAATCATCTCCATCATCGCATCAACTCTGTGGCATATTTATCTGTGCTGCATTTAGAGATATCGCTAATCGAAGAACTTACGATTATCGTAGACGGGCAGTCGAAGGATTCGCCGGGACCGCAGATAATCGACGTTCAGACCATTTACCTAAACAGCGGCTCCCGCAAAAGACGAATGGATTGGGACTCACTCGACATTGGCCAGACCGAGAACTCCCCCACAGCATCGCAGAGCGGCGAGCTGCCCACCAAAGTGGCCCCCCAGGAAAAGGATAAACACAAGCGCGAGAAGCACTCTGGTAAGGAACGCAATCCCCCACCCATTGGCCATCCCATTTGCATAAGTAAATAAGTTTATTGACTGCTGGTGACCCACAATCAATGAAAGCGGAAAAGAATGAAAGACTTTATTCCGATATTGAGACCTGTTCCAGACCCAACGCGACACTATTCCTGGCCTGGCCAGAAACTCGTTCTCCCCTCCTCCGCCAGGTGTAAACTCGTGTATTGTGGTAAATTGGGAATAATTATGAAACCTGTTTGTGTCCACCTTTTGATTTTCGTTTGTCTATCTGGCAGATGGATAGATACCAGCCTATCATTAAGTTGATCATTCGGAAAGACAAACGTGAGTGCATGAGTCTCTGTTTCCTCGGCATTTATCCCGTACTCTGGATGTGCTAAGTGCTGTACAAGCAGATATATATATCACTGCTAATTAGTCCGTATCTAACTATCAGATGTGAATATATGGTGATATCGATGGCTTCGTGAGTTCGCAATTAAATTGGACTTTATCGAAGGGTAAAGGCTGAAATGTTTAAAATGGTTATGACTACTGCAAACGAGTTGCACCCTCGAAGAAGTCTGGCTTTAAATAGTTTCATAAACTTCATTAACATCGCTGCTGTAAGGTGTTGGATGTTAGATGTTGGCGGTTGGCAGTTGGATCTCCTAATGAAATTCACAGACCAGCGACTGCGATTAACTTAGCACCTCCCTTCCGACATGGTCTCCATCTGATGTTAATCAATCGCGTACTTTACTAATAGAACACCAGAAAGTTGGGGTAATTTTCCAAAGACCAAACCAGGCCCCCAATTCATACACAGACAGAGAGAGCCAGAGACACAGGGAGAGAGTGTGCAGCCAAAAAAACCCTGTAAACTTTAAAGATTTTCCAGAGAGATTGTTTAAATAAAATCACGCAAGGTCCCAGCTACTAGAAACTGGACTAATTATTCCATAGCGGGTGACTGAGGCATGACACTGCCACAGAGTATACATATACGTATACGTACTGTACACACACACACACACACACACACATTTAGTGTGTGTGGCCATATAATTTTGACTCGAATCTAAAGCTTTGCCGCGTTTCTCCCTCCCTCGATGGCTTATCAAGCGACACTTGACGCAGATAAGACCTAAATGTTCGCCTTTTTTTTTCTATACGAGTAGACCAAACACACAACAGTTGGGCATTTAGTAGTAGATTGTTAGAATTTATGCTTAAAACTTTACACCGCGGGTGACAACTATAGTGTATGTACTACAATGTATACTATATTGAATCACAGATGATCATTCTTAATGGCTTTTGCTTTTGTTTAACCTTTTCCTACTCCCCAGTCTTTTTGTTTATATAATCGTAGACAGCGTGGACGACTGATTGCAGCCATTTCCCATTGCCATTCAGCAATCAACGACAGCATAGCATTTTCCAATGGAGTAGCAGTTCTATCTATTCGTCTTTCCAGATACTTTTCATACCCTTAATCAAGTAAATTAGCTGTGACACTATCGCCCGCTTGCGAAACGACAAAACAACGCAAATTTGTTTGTGCGTCATTCGATTGTGGATAGGATAGACACTCTCAATTGATTCAATCGATTCGATTCGGAGCCCCAACTATAAATTGTCCGATCTGTGCACAGAGCCACAGACACAGTACATACATATGTACATATAGTAGCATAGGTTTCGGTTCGGTTCGGTATCTGCAGATAGATTAAATCAATTAACGAAGCATTTCATGCTATACCATTTATTGAGTGATCATTTAGGGGATATTTGAAATTAATCAGATCTATAAAGATACATACATAGTATATAGCACACATACAGTCTATACTTTAAAGCAACGGAAGGAACTAACCAAGTGAACGGTCGAATATCTCCTCTTAGTTAAGCACACTGATTGACGTCAGTCTGCTAACGGTGTAGTCGCTTTTTTAAGAGCCTCGATAAGAGCGGGAATTCTTGGGATTGAATCGCCGGCGTGTCCCTGTCTCAGATATGAAAGGGTTGAATTGAAATGTGATTGGGATGAAATTAACTTTTTATGATACTCTACAATTTGGCAGGCCGCAGCAGCTGGAGCGATGACATTGGCTTCGATCTGAATGCCGAGTTCAACAGCAGCTCGTACTTGAACAAGTAAGATATTCATTACCCTTGCCCTCTCGAGGCCATGTGAGATCGCAGCTAACAATTTCCTCTACGAGCAGTGAAAACTTTCTGTCGTTCTCCCCCACGCTGACCGCCCTGAAGCAGGAGCCCCAGACGGAGCAGATCAAGCCGAATCCGAAGCTTTCACTGGACACCAGCAACAGCAATGCCGCAGCAGGCACTTTGTCGTCTGCCCCCGTGGCGATTGCCAAGGCGGACGAGGCGCAGCTGGGTGCCACTGGCCAGGAGACGTCCGCTGCCAATGGCAAGCATGACCTGAGCTCCGGACTCCACTGTGGCTGTGGCACGCCCCAGGGCTCGCCAGTGGCTGCCAGCGAGTATGACGGACAGGGCGGACACTCCGACAAGGGAAAGACCAATCCCCAGCAGCAGCAGCAGCAGCAGCAGCTGAGCGTGCTGGATCCATCTAAGATAGAGATTGTGTCCGCCAACGGAGCGACACATGCCGAGGATCACAAGTGAGTAGGAAGGAACGCTGGAGGAGCAGCTGGATTCTGTTTACGCTGAACTCTGATGATCCTCGTCCTTGCAGGTTTCAATACATTTTGGCTGCCGCCACATCGATTGCCACCAAGAACAATGAGGAGACCCTGACGTATCTGAACCAGGGCCAGAGCTACGAGATCAAGTTGAAGAAGATCGGTGACCTGTCCCTCTACAGGGACAAGATTCTGAAGGTGAGTCCAAGGCTGTGCCCCAGGCGCAGCTGCCGCAGAACCATTGCCTCCGTTGTCACCGCCAATTGAGGCAGTGGCAGAGACAGTGGCAGAGGCATAGGCATGTGATTCAGTGAACGATTTGACTTCTCGCTGTCTGGCGTCAATTGGTTTCAATAAACCCCAATTAAGATGACGAAGAAGCTTGAGGGATAGACTCACGAGGACGGAACGTGCATGCGTATGATCAGGCGGAGATACAAGAGTATCTGCGTTTGACCAAAACTACATATACACAAACATACATCCAATCTTTGGCAATATAGAGTGACTTCATTTGGTTGCAAAAATTCCCTTGCAGAGCGTGATCAAGATCTGTTTCCATGAGCGCCGTCTCCAGTTCATGGAGCGCGAGCAGATGCAACAATGGCAGCAATCCCGACCCGGCGAGCGCATTATTGAGGTGGATGTGCCGCTATCGTACGGCCTGTGCCACGTCTCTCAGCCCCTGAGCTCCCATTCGCTCAACACTGTCGAGATCTTTTGGGATCCCCTCAAGGAGGTCGGCGTCTACATCAAGGTCAACTGCATTTCAACCGAATTTACCCCAAAGAAGCACGGCGGTGAGAAAGGTGTACCATTTCGACTCCAGATCGAAACCTATATAGAAAACAACAACACGAATTCGAACTGGAACGAAACAACAGCAACACCAGCATCGGAAACGGCAACGGGGGAACAGCGGCTCGACAGCCCCAGCCTCCCCAGAGCGCACCTCCAATGGGAGCAGCAACAGCAACTGCAGCGGAGGGCTATCCATTGCCAGTGTGAAGCAGGCCGTCCATGCAGCTGCCTGCCAGATCAAGGTGAGTGAGAGCATGGGAGTGGCGCTAGAGAGTCCCTTATCACATTGCCATTTATCTGCAGGTGTTCAAGCTAAAGGGCGCCGATCGCAAGCACAAGCAGGACCGCGAGAAGATACAGAAGCGTCCACAGTCGGAGCAGGATAAGTTCCAGCCCAGCTACGAGTGCACCATCATGAACGACATATCGCTGGACCTAGTGATGCCGGCCACCACCACGGGCTGTTACAGCCCCGAGTAGTGAGTGTCCATCCCCATTCCCTCGTTTCCCCGTTCCCCCAGGCTGTACCAATTGACGTAGTCGCAGTCGCAGTTGACGCAATCTCTCAATTGAGCGTGCAAATTGTCTCGAGTGTGCTTGCAGTTTATGCGACAGCCCACGGTTGCGGCTTTGATTTACGATCTCCTGCAATGCAGGCCCGGATCCCCCCCCAACTATTTACATAACATCCAGTTACTATGATCATATTAATATTCCGACGTATTACATACTCGTCGTACACGTGTGCACCTAGACACTCGCCTCTTATCTACTCGTACAGTGAGTTTTGAGAGCTTTAAGGCAGTTCTGCCACCCCCCCTCGATGTCACCTAACTAAGGCTCTGAAACATGAAGCCAAAGCAGAGCTAAGCAGATTCCCTTATGTAGATAGGGTAATTTAATGTGGATTTAAATGGATCTAAATGCCTAAATATATGGCTAATGGTCGTGCTATTAGCTATAATAGCTTATCGAATAGAATACATTATCGGATTCAATGAGCTTTCGTTTTATTGTATTTATAATCAATAGACTTATAGCTCTGAAACGCAGTGTGCAATGGAATTTTCCCGCACCGAATGAGAGAGAAAATTTGATTTGTCCCATAAATCCCAGAGATCAATCGAATTGAGAGCGTAAATACGAGTAGGTACTATATGTGGATATGAGAGATATGAAGAGAGAGAGAGAGAGAGTGCTGCTTAAGAGAGAGCACAAGTTGAAGGATCATTGGCAAGGTGCTGTTCGCTAAGAGACAATCCAAAGAGCATTTCGTGTGTGTGTGTGGGGCCGCCCCTGCTCCAAGCTATTTTTAGTTTAAAGTTGCTTTTAACCGGTTTTCGGCTTTGTTTCTTTTCTGCTGAATGATTTTGTTTGTTTTGCAGGCCACACTACGGGCACTGAAAAGCACCACAGATATTATTTTGCCGAATCAAATTATTTAGGGGGGAGACATTTAGGTTGTGCATTAATCACTACCCTGCCCATCCGCATCCAGATAACTTGCTGGAATACCGGAATAAATGAGCATGTAATAATCCATCTGAATGTTGATTCAAACAGGCTGAGTGGTTGGCTAGGGAATTGTCAGCGGGGGGAAGGTCAGGGAAGAACTTGAAAGTCTAGAAAATTTCCCCCCGAATGGCGGCAATGATATATGAATTACGAGTTATGTTATGTTATGTGCGGTTTATGCATGGATGATTTACATACACACAAGTTAACGAACAAGTTTTGCTTATTTAATCAGGGATCGTATCGAGTATCAGGTATCGGGCATATCGGGCATATTGGGTATACGATATCGGTTTGTAAGCAAAGAGAAGTCGAGCAGTTTCGCGGAAGAGAAAACCTGATTCCCTGCATCAGGGACGGGAGAGCGAAAGCTCCAGACGCGGACGGGTCTGGGCTGGCGGCATTCGTTAACATGCACTGGCCCCTGAAGGATTGTCGCTCCTGTCACTGCAAGATACACAGTCCCAGCACGGGACTATACAAAAGTTGTAGGATCAGTGCGTTGGGTAGAGGGTACAGTTGGCCCCCAAATAATCACATCTCTCTCTCGCTTCCACAGTATGAAACTTTGGCCCAATTCGCCCGTGCACATACCCAAGTACGATGGGATGCTTCCGTTTGCGTCAAGTGCAGCATCGCCGGCAACCAGCAGCAGCAGCCCCATTGCGATCAATTCGGTGACGTCAACCAATTCGCCCAACCTCAAGCTGATGGACGCCACCAATATGGTCTCGCCGCAGCATGTGCCCGCAGAAATGGATGACTTTGTATGTACTATTTTTGCACCACAGCTTGACAGTTTCTAATTTAACACATTATGATAGCAGAATCAGAACATAATGCCGGAATCGACGCCTTCGCAAGTGACGCAGTGGCTGACCAACCATCGCCTCACGGCCTATCTATCGACGTTCGCCCACTTCTCGGGAGCTGATATAATGCGGTTTGTGCTTTTCTACAATGCGATTAGAAACTGTAGGCCTGGGGAATGCCTATAGCTGAAAATACTCGAATATAATCGATAAAAGCTTCATGCCTCCGATTTGTATTTAATGCATCGTTTTGGCAGGACAGTTCGACAGTCTTACAGTTTCGAAACGCACTTTCTTTGGCTTTCTCTTATCCGACCGTCTTTGGGTTTATTTTTTGTAGCATGTCCAAGGAGGATCTGATACAAATCTGCGGCCTGGCCGACGGCATACGCATGCACAACATATTGCGGGCCAAGTGAGTGATCCCCAGAAGGGAATACAAAATCGAAATATCTATTCTAAAACCCTGTTTAAATATTGCAGAACCATCACGCCCAGGCTCACGCTGTACGCCAGCATGGATGGTTGCAGCTACAATGCCATCTACTTGTTGTCGAACACGGCCAAGGAGCTGCAGCAGAAGCTGTTCAAGATGCCCGGCTTCTACGAGTTCATGGCCAAGGCGTCCGCCCAGGAGAATGGAGGAGCTGCTGCGGTCGCTGCAATGTACAACAACTGGAGCATGCACTCAAAGTACTCGGGCAGCGGCTCGAACATCTTCAACGATGCCAACAAGAACTGCGTGTACATCTCGGGACCGTCGGGCATTCTGGTCAGCGTCACCGACGAGGTGCTCAACAATGAGATCAAGGACGGCAGCCTCTATGCCCTGGATGTGCAGAGCGGCAAGGTCATCCTGAAGCTGATCAACAAGCAGGACAACAATTGAATGGAATACCAATATCAATACCAACACACCAATACCACCCTAGAAACCAAGTATAGCTTATAGCATTTACACACAGTTCGATATCGTGTTCTATATAAGATTCAATGTCTATGAGATTTCGCGCAGCAATTTTGAAACAAGTACACCCCTCACTCCGCGCCACGCCTACACCTAGGGGATAGGTGGCGACCTAAGCCCGAACCTTTTTAGTTAAAAAATTAGTGCAAAATATGTTTTAGCCACCGTTTTCACTCTTTTTAAGTTTGTTTACTTTTATGCATGTCTTACATTACGAATAGGAATAGGAGTGCAGTATGCACCTTCACTCCTCCTCCTCCATGCGATTGCATTTTGATTCGCTATATTTTTTTCTACTTTAGTTCATTGCCACGGCACATGCCCCATGTCCCATGTCCATGCCCGGCTACCCCTTTTACATATGTATACATATATAATAACGTTTACACTCGTTTGTAGAACTCACTCTATGTGCACCATTTGAAGTAGAAAGAAAAACGCAAAAAAAAAAAAAAAAAAAAAAAAATGCAAACCTAAATTTAATACTTATAAATAACATCTTGAAGAGTACAGTACCACGAATACAAGAATTGAGCAATTGTTTCGAAGCAGAGTTCAACTAGCAACCAAACAACAACTTTTGTATGTGATAGAAGCAATAAAGTGTTATCCACAAGTGGACTGTCAAAAAAAACAAAAAAACAAAAGAACACACGATATATTTTAATGGAAAGGAAAGTAGGAAGGTACTTTATATGTGGACTTGTAAAAAGTCTTCTGACAGCTCTTATCAATAGAGAAGTATTTTAGTTTCCACATAGTTAGGTGAAGATTCTTATTACTGATTTTCATGTGGCTTAAACCTTTTTGGTTGTCTAGTATCGGATGCGTCTAACGTTTAGCTCGTCATAACCTTAGATTTGTTACTGGGATTTCCCCAAAAAACTGTAATACTATAATGGCAGTTTTCATCATGTTCATATACTAATATTTTGGAGTATAATTTTCAAAATTTACAATTCATCAGATGGAGGGCTCACAGATGCTCATGCTGCTCCTACTCTGCGCCATGGGCAAGTACCTGCTAGTGTATACACGACAATGTGCTCCCAAAGTTTTGTCTATTCGAGAGCAGGTCAGGGGGTTCGCAGTGATTGTCTGATATCGCGGTATATGGTGGAGGGAACGAATCGCATATTCACCTATCGCGATGCCAGCGGAGCCCTAAAATTGCAGCGAACGGAAACTGTGCCCGCTGGTGTGTCCCTTTGGATGTTCTGCAATCTCGCTGACAGGGTGGAGACTCAGTGTCAGGACAATGGAACGTTCTCTGTCGCTTTGCCCATGACATGCAAGGATCCGATGCGGCCAGATGTGACGCGAATCAGGGACCAGGAGTGTTCTGCGACCATGTATGCTGTGGGATATAACATCGAAGGGCAACAGTTGGAGCTCTATCGGACGTGCTTTGATGCCAGCAATGCGCGGGTCCTGTACTCGCAGAGCGATGTCTACTATAAGTCCTTCTGTAAGTGTTCCCCCTCCGTCTACTACTCCCACCCATTGGCCAATTGAGTTCGTGATAGATCCCAAGCGACCGTGGATGGAGTTTGCGTTGAACGAGCTGTTCAGCCCCGTGGAGGCGGCTGCCTTCTTGAAATCCAACATCTTCCACACCTTCAACTGCATCTACGGGGATGGACAGACCTACTTGAGGAGTGCTCGGGACCTGGTGATCAATCGCGGGCATCTGGTGGCGTCGGCGGACTTCCTCTTTCTGGACCAGATGGGCAGCACCTTCCGCTACCTGAACGTTGTGCCCCAGTTCAAGTCAATCAACGATGGCAACTGGGAGAAGATCGAGCGTTGGGTGCGCAGCATAGTCCCCCCATCGACTCCGTTTCGGGTAAAGTCGGGGGGCATCGGCACGCTGATGTTGCCAGACAGAAGTGGCGTGTTCCAGCAGGCCTTCCTGTCCGGCTCGAAGATTCCAGTTCCCGAGTGGACCTACAAGGTGGTGCGAGATGTCAGTGGCAGAGGGCTCTACGTTTTCCTCACCTACAACTGTACGTTCCAGCGTGAGAGGCCGCAGGTTCTGGATATTTGCAAGCCCGTCAGCTGCCCCTTGAGCCTTCCAAACACGCCCCACGATGGCTTCACCTACTGCTGTGATCCAACTGAGTTTCCCCTCTAACCATAAATATTTCATTGGCCTGGGTATTTGGGCGGGCCTTACGAAATGAAATTATCCTACGCAATAATCGTCGCCTGAATAATTTAATATTTTCTATTTAATAAACGAAAATTGCAAAAGTCGAGCACTGCACGAAAATTGTAGGTACCTCTTGATAATGAATGAAAAAGGACAAGGCTCATGGACAAGGAGTTGGGAATAAACCAAAAGAAAACTCTTTTATATAAAATGTTATATCTCTAATTGGCTTCCAATAATTTTGGGGCTATCTAATATACAGTTATTACAGGGCGGATTTGGTATTTGATCTCTTAAATGTCACGCTTAGAAATTCTTTCGCCAAGCAGGAGAAACCAAATCCCAAGGAACTTTCAGATGTTTGTGGTGTCGTTTAATTATTTCTTAGGTTCGCATTTTAGGAAACAATTAGTCAGTCAGCCTAATGACATTTTAAACGCTGCTTGAGTGGCCATAAAAGCCCTCAGAGTGCTCCGAATGCCAATAAGTTGCCAAAGAATAAGTTTGAGAGAATGACCAAGAAGGCGGAAATCTTCTACAAAGGTCAGACGTTTGTTTTCTACCTTTTCTCGCTGATGCCACACGAGCAGCGCTGGAAAAGAATACTCAATGAGATCAACTTCTTTCACGTCGTGGGCTTCTGGGTGCTGCTGTTCGATCTTCTGCTGGTGCTGCACGTGCTGGCCAATCTGAACAACATGTTCGAGATAGTCAGGTCCATCTTTGTGCTGGCAACCAGCGTGGGACATACCGCCAAGATGATATCCATCAAGAGGAGTAATGTGGCGCTTCTGCAGCTGTTCGAACGCCTGGACGCTGAGGACTTTCGTCCTGAGGGACCGGAGGAGTGCGCCATATATGCAGCAGCCTGCGAGACGACCCGCAAAACGCGAGATTACTATGCGGCCCTGTCACTTTCAGCCCTGGCAATGGTACTCATCCCACAGTTCGTGGTCGACTGGTCGCAGCTGCCGGTGGGCACCTACAATCCATTCGATAATCCGGGCTCGGCCGGATACTATCTCCTGTACTGCTATCAGTGCCTGGCGCTCACCACCGCCTGCCTTATGAACATCAGTTTCGACTCCCTGTGCTGCTCGCTCTTCATATTCCTCAATTGCCAGCTGGACATCTTGGGCCTGCGACTACAGCACCTGGGCGAGGCCACGCAGAACATTGATGGGCAACTGAAGCAATGCATCCGGTACCACATGGCGATCGTGGACTTGGCGGAGACCATCGAGCGTCTGCTTTGCAGCCCGATATCTATCCAGATATTCTGCTCGGTGCTGGTGCTGACCGCCAACTTCTATGCCATTGCCATGGTAAGTCATTCAACTGAGCCCAAACTATCTTAATGCATCCCAAACGCAATCGTATGTAGTTGTCCGATGAAAAGCTGGCGCTGCTCAAGTTTGTCATCTATCAGACTTGCATGCTGATTCAGATCTTCATGCTGTGCTACTTTGCGGGGTGAGTGAGTGATTGATTGATTTATTGATGGATTAATTACCTTAGCTGAGTATTCCTCTGCAGCGAGGTCACCCACTGCAGTGTTGGGCTGCCCCATCGGCTGTACGACACGAATTGGGTGGACTGGAATCGCACCGAGCGCCGCAATGCGCTGCTTTTCATGCAACGTCTCCACTACGACCTGAGGATTAGGACCATTAACCCCAGTCGAGCCTTCGATTTGGCTCTCTTTAGTTCGGTACGTTCCCCCAGCATTTTCTTCCACTGTACGTTTAGCGAATTTCCATAATTAGCCTCATTAGTCGTTGCCACAACTGGCACTGGGGCTGGGCTATAAAAGGGCTGTCCGTAGCGCAGGACACGTAAGTAAAGTCTTTCGGGAAGAATCGGAATCGGTCAGCATGAATGAGCATCAGAGGGTCACAGAGCACTTCTACAAGTACCAGGTGTGGTACTTTCAGATGTTGGGCACCTGGAGACTTTCGGATGGGGCCACAGAGCAGCAGCGCCGCTGGCACCTGCTCCGATTCTGTTTGATCTTTGCGATACTCAGTGGAATGTTGCTGCTGTTTGCCATGGAGCTGGGCAGCAGCATTTCCAATCTGCGGGAGATACTCAAGGTCTTCTACATGTTCGCCACGGAAATGTCCTGCATGACCAAGCTGATGCACCTGAAGCTGAAGGGTCGGAAGCTGGCCCGCCTCGTCACCATGATTAAGTCATCGACTTTTGCCACCAAAAGTGAGGAGGAGAAAAAACTCATGGAGGCGGGCAGGGTGTCGGTGGTTAATTTGCGGAATTTTTACGGCGTTTCGTCCATAGTGACAGCCATCTTGATTCTCCTGGTGCCCTGCTTTGCGGGTTACACGGAGCTGCCGTTGACCATGTACGAGCTGTGCAACATTGAGGGGCGAGCCTGCTACTGGGTGCTGTTTCTGTACCATTCCGTCTCCCTTCTGCCCACGTGCTGCCTGAACATAGCCTTCGACTCGGCGGCATATAGTCTGCTCACCTATCTGGGCGTCCAGGTGCAGATGCTCGTCCTGCGTCTGCAGCAGCTGGGGCCGGCTGATCGCCCGCTGGATAACCAGCGCATTGCCAGGGAGCTGCGCGAGTGCAGCGCCTACTACAACAGCATTGTGCAGCTCAAGGATCTGGTGGAGGTGTTCATCAAAGTGCCAGGCTCGACGCAGCTGATGTGCTCGATCCTGGTATTGGTGTCCAATCTGTACGACATGACGACCATTTCGATTGCCAATGGCGAGGCCATCTATATGACAAAAACATGCATCTATACACTGGTCATGCTCTGGCAAATCTTCATCATCTGCTATGCATCCGACGAGGTGACCATCCACAGCTCACGCCTGTGCCACAGCGTCTACAAGTCCCAATGGACCTCCTGGGACAAGGCAAATCGAAAAATGATTGTGCTAATGATGCAGCGCTTTGACTCGCCGCTTTGCTTGCGCACCATTAATCCCACATTCACTTTTAGTCTGGAGGCCTTTGGTTCTGTAGGGAAAAAAAATCGGACATTCCTCAATTATAACTAATGGATTGTCTTTATTTTCAGATTGTCAACTGTTCTTACAGCTACTTCGCCCTACTGAAGCGGGTTAACAGTTAGATTTGGATGTTTTAATTGGATTTAATTAGAAATGCTTCGTAATTCCCATAATTTAGAAATAATATTAAATGTTACCGGGCAGTTTGATTTCAATCCCCCCTGCAGCAATATGGTCACACTCGGTCGCACTGGCTAGAAAAATACCAGAAAGTATATTTTATCGATTGTCTGTATATCGAAAATACAATTAAAGCAATTATTGTTGTTGTCTCATTAAATAAAAACAAAGTTAATGCGCTACGAAAATTAAATATTGAAGCAAAGCTCGTCCTAAAATTAGCAGGCGTTCCATTGACCAGTTGTGTGTGTAATTGATTATCGTTATTGTTGCATTCGCATCGAAATCGTATCGTATCGGTCAGCTGGCGTTCTTGCTGACGGACAAAGTTAAGATGTCGGAAAACCCAAAAACAAGCAAAAACGGTCCTAGCTGCCTGCATTGTAGCGCATACGGTTCGAAATTGAAATTCCAGGAGATATTTGATGAATTTGGCCTGGAACTGGGACTCCAGCAGCTGCTGGCGAAACACTTCAACTTGGATGTGAAGCCTAACACAAAGCAGCAACTGATCCTTTGCGGGGAGTGCGTAAATGTTCTGATCCGTTTATTTGACATTGACGAGCTACAACAACAGCAAGATGCTGCGATTGCCAAGAAAGAGAACGCTGCTGCACAGGTTTCTCCCGGCGCAAAGAGTGCATCCAAGACGCCTCCACAGGCGGCCAAGCCTGTGGCCAGGAAGGCAACGCCGCCGCAGCCACAAGGTAAAGTGGGGAAGCTTGTGCCGGTGGTCACTTTGAGGGAACGCAGCCGACGTATAAATAAAATTTCGTCCGTGGCACTGGCTTCTACTGCCTCCGTAGCAGCCGTAGTTGAAAAAGTCACGGCCCCATCCAAAACTACCGTGCAGGCGTCTTCTCCCACTACAAGAGCTAAGCGTGCTGCGAAGGACGCAGACCAGGAGCAGATTAGTGCCCTCATTCTCAATATTCTAAACGAGGATGAACCGGACGTGGAAGATGAGGTAGAAACCGCTGCTCCCGACTCTCCCCAATCGCCTGCTGCAAAGACAAGTCGAACAACAATTGATGTGCCAGAGGATGAAGCGGGCGGGGAGGCAGTGACTGAAGAAGATCTAGATGGAGTGCATATTATATACGAGCATGAGGGTGCGTAGATACTCTTGGTTTGTGACTTGTTGCTAAACATTTCCATTTTCAGATATTTTACTTGAAGAGGAGGTAAATACAAAGCCAGACATCCGTCAATCCAGACTAAAAGTGCAGAAAACGGAAAGCCAGAGCGAGGCAGAAAACGAGGAGAGCGGGACCAGCAATATTGTCGTCTTTAACTTTGTCGAGATCAAAGAAAGTACGTGGAATAATTGTCAGATAATGAGTTTACCATATCGTCGCTCATTGTGCCCCTTTTGTGCCATTACAGAGGATGATATTGACGACCTATACGAATACTTGGGCACGGTGGTGAGGACCAGCTTCCATAAGCTAACCTTTGACTGGAGCACTGTCTGCAAACTGTGCACATTTAAGTCCTCTACCTACGAGGATCTGCTGGGGCACATGCTGAAGGTGCACAAGTCCCAGGCGGACGTCTTTCAGTGCCCAATCGCGGGCTGCAGCAGGGAGCTAAAAGGATGCAAACTTCTGGCCATGCATTTGGTGGTTCTACATGCACCTGTTGCTGAGTAAGAAACATCATTTATATGCGATATCTTTTGGGATAACTTATTGTCCGGTGCTCTCTTTTAGTATTCCCATTTACGGCAGCTGTCCGGAATGCAAGATGACATTTTCAAATATTTTGCATTACAATAAACATTCGTGTGCGCATATCATCAAAAAGAAACGAGGCGTTCGTTTGTATTGCGAAATGTGCGCTATCGAATTTCCCTCCTGGAAGCGGTAATCAAATTATTATTGCCACGTCTACTTGTAATTGTCATTGTAATTTTCCTTTTCGATGCAGCTTTAATTTTCACAATCAATTCCATTTGGAAAAGCACCGGCCGCGTGCGTGCTTTGTCTGTGGCTATGAGAACACCAACATTGACGAACTCTTCCAGCATTTGCACTATTCCCATGAGCCAGAGGGCACCCGCTTCTGTGATCTGTTCGTAACGTTACAGCCAGCAGCATTTCCACATACTGACGCTTCTGCTCTGCTTTCAGTTGCGATCGCACTTTCCGGGATCCCGATGTCTTTTCGGAGCACAACTCTTCGCATGCGAATGTGAGCAACACCATCTACACCTGCACCGAATGCTTGGCTAGCTTCGAGACTCGCGGCCGACTGAATGGCCACATGGTACAATATTTGCGTTGAACTATTCTAGTAATACAAGTGAACTGATCAGTGGATACTTTTGCAGAGAACCATGCATGGCAATGTCATCAGCTGTGAGCTTTGCTCCCGCGAGTTTGCCTCTGAGACCACCTACAACGTCCACATGAAATCCCATTTGATTATCGAACGGGAAGTTCATGTCTGCAGCAATTGTGGCCAGCTGAGTGAGAACCAAGAGAAAATGAACGATCACTTGGGGACCGAGGGCTCTGCCTGCCTTGGGGCGGAGAGTTGCGTGGAACTGCTACGCGATGCCTATGTCTGTGAATACTGCACAACGTACTTTAAGCAGAAGTCAGACTTACAGGCCCATCGCGATACCGGTGTACACAACAATGGGATATTTTGGTGCCAGCCTTGCGAAAAGGAATTCACCGACATGAAATTGTATCGCCACCATTTGCGCAACTATCAACAGCTGCGAATAGATGTAACACACCGGAAGCTGGACATTTGCACCTTCTTCATGTGCGATCAGAAGGTGACACGGCATGCCTGACAATCGAAATAGTTGTTTGACTGAAACTTACCTTTCAGGACTGCTCGGCGGCATATGCGAACTGGAACTCATTGTATACGCACAAGCGGCGCACTCACGATGCGCCCGACAAGCAGCAGGAGAAATTAGCCAAGCCTTTGCAGGAATGGCAATGCCAATTCTGTTTGAAGCTATGCCGCTCCAAAATGTCCTTATCCGTCCATGTGGCTCGGAGCCATAATAATGGTGAGTTGAGTACACAAATCGCCTCATTTGATTGCCGACTATATTAACGAGGCTTCTTCGTAGACAATGTGGTCTGCTCACTGTGCAACGCCTCGTACAAGAGCAAGGAAGCCCTGGCCAGCCACCATGACTACTGGCACGAGCCCATCGAGTGTCCGCAGTGCTTCAAGATAGTCAAGAATCGGCGCAACTACGACACCCACGTGAATGTGGTGCACTCAAACAAAAAGCGCTACGCTTGCAGTGTTTGCCAGAAGGGCTTCTACCACAAGAGCGAGATGGAGGCTCACAAGAGGGTCTGTACTGTAGCATCACTAATTCGATCTCCAACTGATGGTATCTCTCTGTAGCTCCATTCCCAGTCGTACAGTTGCGAGCAGTGCAGCTTCACTACCAGGAACAAGAAGTCACTGTCTGTTCACACCCTGGGCCAGCACTTCAAGCGATTCGCCTTCGACTGCAAGATATGCGGCAAACACTTTGGTCGACGCCAGGGACTGACCAATCACATCCAGCGTGTGCACGCCTCCAAGCATGTGTGTCGTAACTACATTGATGACGGCTGCGGACGCTCGTTTACCACCATTTCGCAGCTAAACATGCACTTGCGCAAGGTGCACAACTCCACTATAGTAGCCGACGATGTGGTCGAAGAAGAGGCATTTGCCATCGCAAGGCCGTCGTCAGCGAAGAAACGTTGCTTTGGAATTGGGCAAGATACCAAAGAAGAGTACATAGACGACGATACGATGAAAGACGCGGATGAGAACGTTGACGAGGAGGTGGTGGAAGAGGATGTGGTGGAGGAGGAGGGGCAGGAGGGTGAATGTAAGCTGGAGTTTACCGAGGATGAGGCAGAGGCAGACCAAAAACCGAAAACGATACCCATATCGAACCCGAAACCTGTCTCAGCCACAAAGCATGTAAGAAAACTCCGTTCGAATGATTAGCCATTTCATTGCTAAAGCAGATTTATTTAATTTGATTTTCGTTCATTTTGCTATCCATAATTTGAACACAGAGATGTCAGAAAATGACATAAATATGTATTCCATAGTACATAATACAATTCTAATGATAATGTAATAGCTACTCGTACATTTAGGCTAACTCCAATGCAATAACTAGCCAGAGTCTGGCGGAAGCAAATTTGATTTATTAAGCGTTGTAGTTTGGTCATTTAACTGTTGAAGATTGTGTGCGGAGCTTACCTATAAAATACATAAGTATATCGGGTATAAAAAGTGTCAGTCACGAGAAAAGTCAACAGATAATTCGAATTCAACTTACTGGGCTAATTGGTGTAATAACAATGGCGGTGCGCGTGGCACAGTGCAGCAGGGCCGTGTCCTCAGTGGACTCATCACAGTCACCGTCGCCGTCAGCATCCACATCCACTTCGGCCCCAATGTCGCTGTCGATTTCCCACGATGGGAAATGTTCCATTTCGCCTTCACAGTTTAGATCTTCCTCTTCGAAGTCCTCATACTCGTCGATAAGTATAACTGAGTGATGTGTCGGGGGGCTATGTTTAAGTATACAGAACTTAAGTTTCGATTTACTTACTTGAACTATCGGGCGGCGTTGCCTTTGCAGCGCATTCCAGGGATTGTGCTCCCTCGTCTGGTATGCTGATGCGCTGCTCCTGCTTGCTATATGGCTCCGATGTGGATCTATGCAGGCTGTAATACATGGGATAGCTGCAGTTCGTACATATATTTAATTATGTAAGTGAGGGAACAAACCTTAACGTAACACGTTTCTTGGTCCTATTATCTAAATCAGTCATAAAAACATCATTGTGCTGCTGCTTCTCAGACCCCAGCTGATATGAGTTAAGCACGGAAGACTACAAAGGATGGATACACACAGTCAATTGAGGGGGAGATCATTTGGGCCAGTCCACAGTCCTACCAGACATACCTTGGTATTGGTCGATGTATGCTGCATGTGAGGCGGCATCGGGGTTTGTGTGGCTATCGCATCGGTTGTCGTTGTTGTTGTCTGCGTGGAGGTGAGCGCTCTTAGCTCAGTGCCGTCCGTGGATGTGGCCGAAGTGGCGGTCGTTGCGTGCTCTGGATGCACACTCAGTGCCGCGGTGCGCTTCCACACATCGATCATTGACAGGTTGTGAGCGTGGTGCAGGGGATTGTGGCTAGGACTAATGGAATGTATTTTGCTGGGCTTTGCTGGGAGTGGTAGGGCCAAGAATCTATCACGATCCTCCATGTAGGCTTTGATCAGCACGTCCAGCTTCTCTTCTATGTCAGCGACCTAAGCAAACAAAATTTGCACTTTAATTCAGTTGGTCAATCAATGTGGTATCTACTAACTCACCTGTCGCTCGACCTTAACCACACGGGAGGCTAAACTTATTTTAGATGCATACACATCCTTGGCCTTGGAGCCTTGTTTGCCCAGGATTTGATCCAAACTGTGGATTGAATGTGTGTCAGTTGATTTAATGGTATGTCAATTTGTAAGACTTACCGCAAATGAAGCATCTTAACGCGACCCAGCAAGTCAACGTGACCTAGAGGGAACCAAGAGAGGTATACAGTTAAGAACATGAAGAATATTTCTATGCATGGAGTGTAATATTTTAGTGGAGTGTGCTCTGTGTCTCACCAGCTGCGTATTGCTCCATGACATCCTTGACATCGTACGGCTTCAAGGCCTCCTTGAACTTGCGCCGTGCCACAAAGTACTTGAGCTGCAATAACAATCCCTCTTAGTTACATGTATCCCACTCGATAATATCCGATCCGATCCCATCCCTTGCAGTGTCACGTACTCACCTTGCGAATGAAACGAATGGCCGTCTTGTGTCGATTGGTTAGCTGCGTGCAGCGCGGCTCATCATCCTCATCTGCGGGCAATTTGTGAATCAGAGAGATTGACTTGTGCGTTAGGTTTTGGTTGCTAGCTTCGCTTGTTGGTTTTGGTTTTTGGTTTTGGTTAGTTTTTTTTTTTGGTTTTTGGTTTTGGATACATTTAAGCAAGTCAACGTCAACCCAAATATACAACAACACATACAAAAAGTACCGTTACACACACATATAGAACAATTAGTAAATACGGTTACGATATATTGATAATTATTAAGTATATATGTAGATAGATATTAAATGAGTAATGTCAACAAGAGATAGAGAGACAAATAGACAGATAGATAGATGGATAGATAGATGGATAGATAGATAGATAGATAGATAGATAGATAGATAGATAGAGAGAGAGCTTAGTTAGTAAGAGTTAGTAAGGCGATGCCTTGGCTGGAATATTCTCCAGCCCAGTTCTGAGGCAAGCGTTGTGGTGTCGTTGTGTGTCAGATGGTGGGGGCTGGGGATGTGTGGGCGGAGGAGCATGTAGTGCGGCTGGACTAGTACTAACTAAGACTACAAATCAACGTGGCGACACTCTACACGGTTGGACGGCATGCATCCCTAGCAGCATAGCAGCATAGCAGAGTTGGTTATCCCAGAGCGGGGGGGAGATGCTTCGCACGCACTTGCCACACCGATGGATCCGTTCGGCCCACCATCAGCAGCAGCAGCCGATCCGTGCGAGAATCCTGTCTCCAGGAACTGCGATGCGGCTGCAAAGAATCGACCCGTTCGACCACTTCCCGAGCTCGGACTCGGACTGGGCACAGGAAGCGGCAATGTGTTGCTCCTCTGACAGTCGTCCGTTTTGGCCGGCTCCTCTAGACCGGCCTCCAGGTCCGGAGTGTTTGCGGCTGTCACCCAGGGATTTCGCAGCGAAAACGATGAGCCAAATAAGCTGCCATGCAATAAGCCCAACAGCACCACCGGAATGGCTAGATTTCTAGAAGCCACCTCGCTTTTGGCCTCGACCGATGACGCCTGGTGCGAAAAGTGGGCCAGAGAGCCAGCACTGGAGCTGAGCTTGCAGTTGGCCAGTTGACTTGGCTGGGCTATGTGAGTTAGAGAGCGGAATTACTTAGTTGCTGTCGATCCCTCTGTCCCTAGAGTTAGGTTAGGTTGGTCGCGCCACAGTTAGTCGGGGAGTCGGGTAATGTCGGGTGTGTTATGTAACCAACCAACAAACAACATCAATTAAAATTTCAATCAGTCTTATCTCTGGGGATGCAAGTCACAACATTGACACAACCACAACACTCAATATATATCAATATCAATAGGGATAATAAAATGTGATACAAAAGAAAGGTTTTGTTTAAGTTTTGGGTTTTTGTTTTTGTTTTTTTGGTTTTGTTTTCTCGACATTCGTATTGTAGGACCTGGGGGAGAGGACCTTGTAGACTTACCGTCTGAATTTTTAATATTTTTTAAGCATGTGGTCTCAGCCACTGAATCTTCACTGAAACTTGGATTCAGGGATTTGCCATTCTGTACTACCTCTGCAAAATTTCAAATCAAAGGTTAAACTTTCATTCCGCACACTATAAATATAGTAGGCTCTCGTAGGCTGTATTGCAACTATAATTGAAGGTGGAGTACGAGTATGTGTCAGCAAAATTTCGGATTCAAAATACACGGTACGGACACTCTATATTGGGGGACGTACCGTATTCATAGAACCTCGAATACGAGACATATATAAATCATAATTGGTGTCACAAGTGGGGAAAAACTCGACTTTAACTTCTATAGAAATGAAAAAGCTTTTTTTTTGTTGGTAGTTTTTTTATCATTCCGTTTCGTTTTGTTTATCAATTGTTTGTTGGCAAAATTATGTTTGACTTAATTTGCTTCTATATTATGAGCTCATGACTTTAACTTTGGTTTCAATCTGCACACATCCACTGAACATAATCCTAGCCTTATCACATCTATAACTCCTATATGTATATGTTACAGATACTTATTAAAATATATCAAAATATAAATATATTTATTAATTTATGTGAGAATTTATATTTGTGGAGTCGGAGAAGATATTTCTTCAAATTAAATAAAATTGAAAACTAAATAGCTTAAGGTTTTCCCTACCCACAAATTCGTAGCTACATTCGAGGTATTTACTCAAGAAAAATAAAAAATCTCCCCTGATTCGACAAATGCAACAATGACATTCACATAAGGGCTGGCTGTACTTTTTTATTGTTTGATTTATGACCACTTTTTGAATTGAATTTGATTGCAGAGCTTGCATGCATGATGGTAATACAAACAAAAAATACAAGAAAAAAATACAACAAAAAATTCATAGAGTAAATATATCCATCGAAACGAGTAATGCATTCCATCTTTCAGTTTATGTAACCAAATACATATTTAAAAATGTAATCCTCCCATATGTCTTGACTACTCTTGTGTTTTTGAGGGGTGCGCCTTGTCTTTCGGGGGGATTGTTTGTTTGTTTGTTTGGAGGAGGAACAGGGTATATAGCAAACGGAATCCTTCATTTGATATTGTTTGCTGTGCAAAAGTACAGTTGGAAAGAACAACATGCTGTATGGACAGTACAGAGCGTTTCATGGTTTTAAGAGAGCTGCAATAATATTATGAATTTTGTTTTTTTTTTGTGCTAACTTTTAGCTACAAAACGCACTGTATCCCATATCCTGTTAAGCTTGGCATGTGTGTGTGTGTGTGTATGAGTGTGGGTTGTGGGCAAACAGAAATTTGTAATGGAATCTTGAAATGGGAAACATAAACGGAGAGGAATCGGAAATCGTTCGTCCGGCAACTTACCCAAGTTCTCCACGGATGTATTTATATCCCGAATGGTGCGTGTGTAGCGTGTGGAGGCACGGGACGAGCTCGGGGGCTTCGACTGGCCGCTGCCATCGCCACCGGGCGCCTGAATGGTCTGGCTTTTGTGTCGCCTTATGGTGGGCAGGCGGGCCACAAAGGATGTGTTGTGCTTAAAGCTGGAGGACGCCCGTCTGTATCAGAGTAGGAGGATGTTTGATGTTGAAGAACAGAGAATTATTTTAGTCAACACTCAGACATTTGCGATATCAAGAAGTTGTAGTCGAGACACACGAGAATATATATGGTATAGTAAGTAGAGAGGTTATCTGGCAAACGGGTAGTAAGATACGAGTGAGATAGGATCGTGTGGTACAAGTGTAGCTGTAGCTGTGTGTTTTTTTGTGGATGTGCAGACATTGAGAGGTGACAAAACGGGTGCTCAGGTGCCATTTGGGCCTGGGTGTGCTACGGCAACAACATTGACGATTAATTTAAATATTTACAATTAAAAAATGATGTGCGGCAAAGTCGGTACAATGCCGACGACTGCGATACGTTCCCGATACCCAGCAGAACGAATTAACAGAACCTATCTAGATGGGAGTTTCATCAAAGGTATAACATATATCATCTGATCATTATGAAACTTAGTTAAATAATAAATTGTTTTGTTCTTCACATTTATGGCGTCTAAAATTCAAAATTCAAATTATTTTTTATCCCCAAGAACTAGTTGGATTCAGGATCCATTTATTACGTAAGCAGACCGATGGATATCTATCCTATATCTAGCTGTGGTTAATCCTGATCTGTGAGTAACGGGAATGTGTTTTCTTTGGCCAAGGCTTAGCTGAAGTGCTGGGCAGGGGCTGGGGGCTGGGCTGTAATAGGTGAATGGGCGGGTGGGTTTGCTGTAGTAGAGAGGAACACAAAAAGAGAGAGGAGAATAGAGAGAGAGAATCGAATAAAAAGCAAACGTCTCATTTGGCTTCATTGAACTCACATGTTAATTATAGTTTACGTACACCACACAATTTTATATATATTTTTTTTTGCATTTTTATGGAGTTGTTTTGTTTGTTTTTATTGTTGTTGTTGTGGAATGACCGCGCGGGCGTATGTGGCAGCAGAACACACAGAATGAGAATCAATTCGTATCACATTGATTAATTGTATTTGGTCTTTGGGGAAAATTTCAAAAAGTTTTAGCATAGAATTGTTTCAAATGCAGCAGCAGCAGTCGAAAGAGATGGATGAGTATAACAAGAGCGAGAGCGAGAGAGAGAGAGAGACAGAGAGAGCGAAAGAGATATACAAAGAGAGAGAGAGAGAGATGGGTGCTGGATGGTAAGAAAGCTGCGAATTATATTTTGATTTTGATTCGATTGAATGTGGGCGTGGAGAGGGGTAGCCATGTCTACTACGAATGTGAGTGCTGAGGGGAGGACCACCGAGGAGGAGGACCACCGCCCGTTAACAGAATGATTTGGCAAGTGGCTGATTGAGTCTTTGCTTTAAATTGTGGTTTTGGGTTTTTGATATGGTTATCAGGTTTTACCTATATTCGGATATGTTTTTTAATAATCGCTCCCAGTTTTCAGAACTGAAAATGTTTACAAAAATTATATTATCGATGGAAAAAAGTAAATTATAGGTACTATAAGAACTTAAGTGGTTAATCGGGTTTGGCGAGCAGATAGGCACAAATAGAGAGAGAGTTAGAGGGGAGGGAGTGGGAGAGAGAGAGAGAGAGCTGGTGACAGTCGAGTGGGCGTTGATCGGGGAGCACACAAGATACAGTTACGCTATATATATATAGATGTGTGTATAAGTATATCTGCTACCCATGCTGGGTGTTTCTAGTTTATCGGTGGATGGTTTGAACAAATTGGGTTAATTCGGTTTCTAAATTGGTTTCATGAGCTGCCGATTGCGGCTCTGCTGTGGCTCTCAACCTCAGCAGCTCGTTTACCAACTTTTCTATATTGTTAAATACACAAATGTTGTTTTGTGTCTATAGTGTGTGTGTGTGTGTTTGTGTTCGTGAGTGTGTGTGTGTGTGTGTCTGTACAAAAGTCAATCCATTTCTCATCTGCAAAATATCCCTGAATATACTGCAATTTTAAACAGGCTCCAGCAAAGAACAAAGTGGCGGTGTGCTCTGTGTGCAAAAATACTTACGAAGCCGGCGGACTGGGCAAAGCCACCTGGTGGATCTTCCACGTGGCCACAGACACGGAATGCTCATCGGACGCATAGCATCGCCACACGGCCTGGATGAGTGTGGCCGCCGGCTGGCGTCGTCGTATCATGTGCTTCTGTCGCTGCTGCTGCTGCACCTTCAGTGCAAAGCCGCTGCCCAGAATTCCCTGCGGAAGGAAGGTGGGTGGTCAGCACAGATAACAGAAACAGAACACAAAGAAAAAAACAAAACGGAAACAGAAACAGAAACCGAATGCCATTCAATATGGAGGACTTACCGCCGGCAGAGCAAAAAACGAGATGCCCAGGAGGGCGCAGCAGGAGGCAATCAATTTTCCCTGCCAAGTGATGGGCACCATGTCTCCGTAGCCAACCGTGCACAGTGTGATCTGGGATTGGGCGGAAGGGGGATAGGTTAAAGAATGAGTTAAACCGACAGGGGAGATTTTGAACCTACCACACCCCACCAGAGGGCCTGTGCAAAGTTGCTAAACTTGTCATTGACATCCTTCTCCCACATGTAGACCAGGAATGATGCAAAGATTAGACCTAAGAATCCTATATACATGGTTGTGATCAGCTCCTGCAATACACACATAAATGATTAATATATACACATATTTGAAGTTAGTGTGGATCGACCCACCTGTCTGTGTGCGTATACAACCGAACCGAGGAGCTTCCAGGTGCCTCCCCGACGATCCATGCGCACCATCCGCAGTATCTGGAAGAACCGCAGCCCTCGTAACGCACTCGTGGCGAACACCTGCCCCGAGGTGCCCATGCCTAATACTACAATTGAGGCTAAAATGGTGACAATATCTGAAACGCACAGACAGTCCCTTGGTTCTCAGATAACTCTTCTTCACTCAGTCTCCAACTGCAACTGCAACGCCACTCACCTATAATACAAAATGGTCTCTTGACGAACTTCAGACGCCCCAGGCAACCCTGGTAGCGCGACCGGCAGCCCGACGACCATAGTCGGGCCCCGAACTCCATCGTGAACCAGATGACCACCAGGATCTCCATTCGAAACAGAATGTACACGGCGTCGTCCTCGTACTCCTTGATGGTGGAAAACACGCTCAGGGCGAGGCATGTGAACACCATCAGGAATCTGAAAGTGAAGCAAAGGGAGTTACAGGACTGAGTCCACTAGCCAAGGGATGCTCCTATCCATTCACTTACACCATCACATGGTAAAAGATGGCATGCAGGCCGCGTGGCCGCTCCAGGAAGTTGTAGAGGCGACTCTGGAGACGCCGGTAACGAACATCGCGGCGAGAGCCGCGATTGTAGTTCAGCGGCTTCCCTAGGAGTGACATTCGCGGTTGCAGGATTCTTTCCGAGTTTGGCCTACCCGGTCTACATTTCCTGCAAGCAAAAAGATGGAAATGATCACCGTTAATATCAATCTAGAAACAGGTTCATTATATTCATTAAATATTTCAATATGAAGTACCCCTTGTACCCCCTGATGTCATAGAAGGCATAAATATCATTGTCGGGATCCATTCTGTTCGCATTCCACACCACTTCACTCTCAAAACACTCTCGATCACTCTCGAAACACTCTTGAACACTCTCGCCACGTCTGGTCGCAACGACACTCGATCCGCAACTCGATCGACAGCTGAGCGAGTCCCCAGTTAAAAAACCTTCCTTAACATCTAGACTTTCAAAAACCCTCATGTGTAAATTTTATTAATTATCTACATAAACAGTTTTTATTCCACACACCTTGCATTTTATGACCGGGCTAGGTCTACGTAGACCTTTATTTGATTTTATTTTGATATATGTATACCACATACATTGTACCATTCCAAAACGTTTACTTGTACATATGTAGAAGTATATTGCACCTCGTCATCAACCACCAACTGTCATAAAAATTGGCGTATTTCAGCGACGAATTTCGTTTGGATTTCTTTCGGATTGTCTTCGTGGGCGGGTCAGGCTCACATCAGTCACGATCTCTCGACTTTGTCTTTGCCCAACGTGCTGCCAAAACGATCGTACGTCATTAGCATTGTACGAGTACTCCTATTTTGCGAGCATACTCCACTCCATAGACAAGGCAAATATGGGAGAGTTTGGCAAATGGGGTTGTTTGGGGTGTGTGCCTCTAATGGGAAAATTACCAAGGAATCGTGGGAAAGTTCTAATCAGCTGCGATCAGATTCTGAAAGGTTAAGGTATAGGTATATATAAAGGTAACTCAGGCAACTACACTCAGCGAAAAACTTCTCCTTGAGTCAAGTTTCAATACGATAACGCAAGTCAAATGATGAGTAATCAAATGAAATGAGAATTTTATCTCCAAAAGGTACTAAGCTAGTACTATTAGCAATCTTATCTTCGTAACTAGTACTCGTAAGTTGTATCTCCTATTTTTGCTTTTGTCACATTTGACACGGAATTTAAGTGGAATTTTTCTTTCTCAGTGTTATGCATAAACCGGTCCCAGATCGTTTTATGGTTTTGTGGGTGAATTTAGCCATTTTATCTCATTGATTCTAATTAGATAGATGCTAACAGTTCCGCTACAAAATCCTATGCTTGATTTACTCGCATGCTAAATGGGCAAATAACCGCCACAAAGCAATTATTATTCTGCTAATTATATGTGGGAAGGAAGCAGTGAAGAGCCAGTTCCAAGTCTCTGCGGAAACCACTTTTCAAAGCTTTGTCAACCAATTCGGTACTTACTCTCTCGCTCTCTTTGTACGTGGTCAGAAAGCTCCCCACGGAACAGTAAGAACATGCACACAGGTAGGTAGGCAAAACAGAGTGTCTCGTTGTGTGCGATTGTTTTGATTCTGCACTCAGTCACAGTCATATCTTATCCCCCCACCCCCACAAAGTATTGCTCTCTTCACCATCATTTCCATGTTTAGGTGCAGAGTAGACACGGTTCGGCATATTTTTGTTGTAAAATTTTTTAATGCATTTTTTATGGGTTTACGTTGTGGCTTAGGTTAGGCAGTAATTAAAATATTTATATGTACGTATGTATGCATGTATGTATGTGTGTGCATCTTGTAATGCTCGCTTGGCCGCCTATGAATGTATTTACAGTAGCTTGTCGGGGGAGAACCGAGAATAGTATAATAGAAATAAACGTACACTAAATATAAATGGTTCATATATGGTTGTGTATCCGCAATGACACAAGATCACATGTTGTTGTAGCACCAGGCCGGGCCTCCTTTCGTTCACTCCTCCTCACTCCTCCTCACTCTAGCTCACTTCTTGGCATCGATGATGATCTCATCGCCCGACTGGATGTTGTAGCTGTACAACTTCTTGTTGGGAAAGCGCATCTCCTCGGGCCCGAACTCCTTGTAGTCCTGGTCCAGGTAGAAGAGACGCATCTTGTTGGGCGGCAGGTTGACCAGTTTCTCCAGTTTCGCCTTCAGGTCATTCACCGTCAGATAGATGTCGACGAATCGGCTCTCGCGCATCTCGCCATAGTTGAAGATGACCTTGATGCGTTTATCCGGCTTGAGGCTGACATCGACCAGGGGGTCCAGCTTTCCGTGCACCTGGAGCAGCTCCTCGTACCGGGCCGGGCGCTCCGCCTCCGGCTTGTCCATATAGTGACGTACGAAGGCGCGCTCTGCATCGATGCGCTCGTCTGTGCCGATCTTGCCACCGCCGTTGAGCATCTCCACGTTGGGCAGCCGGGCAATCAGCAACTGGCGTCGCTCGTGCTCTGTGCACTCCAGGCTCTCCCACAACGGCCAGTGTTTGACCCGCAGGTTCTGCAGCTGCTGGAACTTGGCCAGCTCGTCGATGGCACTCCAACAGTTTAGCTGGGCGGAGCTCAGATTCAGAAGCTTTAGGCTGGGGAAGTACTTGTGGGAATCGCACTCCCGGCTCTCCTCCGCCTGCAGCGACCGGATGGGACAGTCGGCCAGGACCAGGGCCTCCAGGTTGGGGAAGATACGCCCCAGACGACATATCTCCTGCCAGTGCTCGATGGGATTGCCTGTGAAATGCAGTGTCTTCAGGGCGGGATGCGCTTTGGTGATTCTCCTCTCCTCCTTCTGGCAGTCACACTGGCTTCCGGCCACGCCGTCCTCCTCCTGAAGGCGTCGCTCCGCCTCCTCGGCGTCGATCAGGACATTCGTGTAGTTGTTGAGACTCAGGTGCAGCTCCTGCAGCACCGGCAGGTTCTGGAGCAGCGTGTCCACGCACTGCCAGTCCAGGTAGGTGCCGTTGAGCACCAGACTCTTCAGATTGATGGCGGGCGCCTCCGCCAGGGGTCTGAGCGGACTGCCCAGCTGGTTCTTGCTCAGGTTGAGGAACTCGATGCGCGGCATGTGCTTCAGGATGTTGAACACCTCCTGCCAATCGCTGAGCTTGTTCTGCGCCAGGTCCAGCTCCCGCACGCGCTGGCACTTCTCCCGGATGCTCTCAAAGTCGCCCGCCGAATCAATGTCGCAGTCGTTCAGCACGAGCAGGGCGGGCACGCTGGTCAGGGGCGAGAGGCGCGGTATGAAGATGGAGAACTCCATTCGCCCACCGCACTTGGTCACCGTAAAGTCGTTGGGCAGGTCCGCGCGCTTGTGCAGCTCCGGCTCATGAGCATTCTCGAATTCGCACTCCGCAAAGTACTTGCGCTCCAGCGCCTCCAGCAACGAGGGCATCTTGCTGTTGCTTTGGCTGCTGCTGCTGTTGCTAGCTCTGGGCTGCCAGGCACTCGCAATTATGTAAATTTATTGAATCGAGCAGCAGTTTCTGTTTCTTTAGCCTCTTCGCATCCAAAGCGTTGCAGATTTCGCCTATTGATTTTCAGCACTCATTTATTTCTATATTTGCCTCAAAACTGCCGTTGTGTTGTCTCTGTGATGCAATCCACTTTTGCGCAGTTGCAGTCTTCATTGATTTTAAACAAATTATTGCGCACGTTTCGCTTTTGTTGTAATTGCGCACTTAGTTGAGTTTTTTTTCTGTGGATGGAGTCAAAGATTCGTAACAAAGAAACAAAAAGTGCGTGCAAGCTCAGTTACTAATTCCAATCCAGTCCAGTCCAGTCCTCAATGCCGTTTTCAGCGCGACGGACAAAGCCAGGGGTCTCCAATGGGCCAATGGGGTCTGTCTCTCTCCACTGGCCTTAGATGCGTTTTCCCTTCGTTTAACCTTTGTTGTTGTAGCTGAAACTGTTTCCTCTCTGGTCGCGTCCCGTGTCGTCTATGTCCGCTCGCTGTGCCACCAAATGTTCAAATGAATCCACCAAGCACTGAGAAGAGAACCACCACGCGAAACTACTCCAACAACCAGGCGCCTGGTGTGTGTGTGTGTGTATGTGCGGTCGTGTTGTATTCCGATTCTGGCCTGTTCAGTGCTGCTTTTGTGTGTAGGTCGCTCGACATGCGCACAGGGGCGGATGTAGTTGCTCTGGGGGGGTCGCGAACAATTTAGAATTTGGTTTTGCTCGAGATCAAAAGTGCACAATAAGTTCTCGTCTGATTATCGTGCTGATTCAATTGCATACAGCCAACTATACTTGTGTAATCAGACAAGAACCTACATATATTGAAATTTTGAAGAGGCCAGGAATACCTAAATGGGGACACTATTTTCCCCGACGACTATGTGAATTTAGCCCCAGTTTAGGGCCCCGTATTCAGGCGCCGTCCGCCTGCCTCTCATGTAAATGCTCTGACAAGCGACCTTGCCGATAAAAATAAATATGCTCAATTACGAAATTCGTTCTAAACTGAAACACACAAATTATTTATTTGACTGCTTTCGCTTTTTGGGGTTTCGGGCGCAGATGTGTTGTGTGCACAAATAGAACACAGAGCAGAGCAGAACATAATATTATTGAAAATACACATTTACAATGACCTTGTCCCATGCACTTGGCAGCGGCCCTATGAAAATATTCTGGCAGCCAGCTGTCAAAATGGGCGCGAGGCCCTCCGTCGAAAGTGAGTTCGCCTCTGTGGAGCTGTCAGAAAAACCAGTTATAAAGTCAATGGTCATGCCACAGTAAGTACTCCGTACAAGTGACAGGTTACGCGGCTCTTCTCGCCGTTGATTTTGATTGACAGTTGCAATTGCAAATGGGGTGCACTGCAAATATTCATAAGTATTTCTAAATTTATTTGCCCTTGGTTTTCATATTGCATTACACATGTGTATCAGTCGCTGGGGTTACCGTGACCACTCAATGGGGTTTCACTATGCCGACAGCTTGAAAGGTGCGCAATAAGCCACCCGGAGAGACAGAGAGAGAGTGAAGCGGGAGAAGAGAGAGCGCGCGCGCGCTAATTTACCAAGCTCTCGCTCACACAGCTGTGCTTTGTTGTCTCGCCACTAATGCTGTTTCCACATGCAAACACAACAACAGACGTACATTT